TCAGATGTAAAGAATGTGGAAAAGCCTTTAGCCAATGCTCATCCCTTATTTCACATCAGAGAATCCATACTGGTGAGAAACCCTATGAGTGTAAGGAATGTGGGAAAACCTTCAGACATCCATCATCTCTTACTCAACATGTCAGAATTCATACTGGGGAGAAGCCCTATGAATGTGGTGTATGTGAGAAAGCATTCAGCCAGAACATTGGACTGATCCAGCATCTGAGAACTCATGTCAGAAAGAAACCTTTTACATGCAAAGACTGTGGAAAAGCATTTTTCCAGATTAGACACCTCAGGCAACATGAGATTATTCATACTGATGTGAAACCCTAAATTTATAGTGTATGCAGTAAAACTTTCAACCACAGCATATACCTAACTCAACACCAGAGAACTCATACTGGGGAAAGACCATATAAATGTAAGGAATGTGGAAAAGCCTTTAGCCAGAGAATACATCTTTCTGTCCATCAGAGAGTCCATACTGGAGTGAAACCTTATGAATGCAGTCATTGCAGGAAAGCCTTTAGGCATGATTCATCCTTTGCTAAACATCAGAGAATTCATACTGGAGAAAAACCATATGATTGTAATGAATGTGGAAAAGCCTTCAGCTGTAGTTCATCACTTATTCGATACTGCAAAACACATTTAAGAAATACCTTCAGCAATGATGTGTGAAATATGTTCAACATCAAAGAATCCCCCAATTGGAGCAAAAGCCTCTAAATTTGTGATTTTCTGACTTTCTGATTTCAAGAACGAATCATTTTTTTAACGGTTTGACCCAATGTTACAATTACTAATTTTGCTGTGTTAAAAAAAAAACTACCTATTATCAGCATTGCTTTGGAAAAGAAAGGGCATTTTATTATTTTAAAATATAGGAAGACTATAATTATAGAGAACAGTCTTTTACATTAAATTAGTTTTATGAAAATCTCCCAAATTTGTCTGTCTTTTTCTCATTTCACTGTGGGCCAGTGAAATCATCATGACAAGCCAGTGATCTGTGATTGACTTTAAGAGTCATGGATTTAAATATCCCTTTAATGAATCAGAATAAAATATAACCTTTTACTATAGCCCTTTACATGGCTAGAAGAGGTAGAAATAAAAATGTCAATTGTCTCATTCTAGACGAAATAATGTTAAAGAGCGTTTACTAGACTTAATAGGTAACCAGCTAAACATGAGGTACATACATTTTTTGGTTTCCTAGAGAGAAATTGGCAAATGTTTTCTGTAAAGGGCCACATAATAAACATGTTAGGTGTTGTAGGCCATATGACCTCTGTCAGAACTACTCAACTCTTATCATTTTAGTGCAGGAGCATCCAGAGACAATATATGGGTATCTCATCTGTGGCACTGCTAATGTTTTGGGATACTTTGTTGTAGGTGGCTGTCCTGCTTTGTAGGATGTTTAGCAGCATCCCTGGCCACTGAATGCCAGAATTCCCCCTTCCACTGTGACAACCAGAAATTTCCCCAGACCTGGGGAGGGCAAGATAATTCCTAGTTGGGAACCACTGACATGAATGAATTGCTATAACTCTGCTCCAATCAACTTTATTTAAAACACAAGTGTTGGTTTGCATTTAGCCCAAGGATTGTAATTTGCCCATTCCACTATGTAAAATGAATATATGTATAATGATTAATACTGACACCAGACTACCATTTAGTGTCATATTTGTATGTTCAGTTATATCTATGCCGAAAGTCTTATTTCCTTATCAATCCTTTGGTATTTTGTTGCAAAAAGGTTTTTTAAAATCACAATTGTAATGCTGTTGTGGAAGCCTAGGAATTATTTATGGAGATATTTATGTAGACTTTAGTTCATAATGATGTTTTTTTTTTTATTCATCCACAAGTGCTTTGGGATGTATCTCTAAAAGATAACCACCACTCTTTTAAGACTTAACTGCAATGCCATTATTACACCTAAGAAAATTAGACCATAATTCCTAATACATATTGATGTCTTTTGAAGATAGATATATTAATATTGGTGGATGCCATTTTAATTGTCTTTTACTTTCCAATTGCCAAATGTATGGCATTAAATTAAAAAATGTGTTGTCTTTTGAGCGAGAAGGTCTTTGAAACAGCTCTTAGAAAAACACATTTAGGGACCGACCCACCAAAGAGGACCAGGGAGACGGTGACTGCAGGGGCCAATTTGAGGCAGGGAAGTGTGAGAGGGGAAGTGGAGGAATTGATTTATAGTACTTCACTGTCTATAAATACTGCATCCTTTCAAACATCCGTGGAGATTGGTCAAGTTCAGCTTCTTACTCTTAAATGGCAGTTCAAAACAATTTAACTGCCTGAACATTGTGTGAAATATCAAAAGTAAAGCTGTTAATCCAGAATATATTCCATTACCTCTAGATATTTTATATTAGTATATTTACCTGAAAAAAACTGGCTTCTAACTCGTAAGTCCTGTATGACTTTGATGGGCAGAAGGACAGAGTGAGGGTGCTCACTTTGCCTCATATATGTTCTTCCATGTTTCTGTGGTCTTAGATTTCCCAAGAATTTGGCGTGTTTTGATGCTTCCTTTCGTGAAAAGCACGACCATCACTTTTCTTTATCTACAATCTGTGTCTCAGTGATCTTACATGGTCTCCTGGCTTAAAACAACATCTCTGTTGGTATTTTATGGTTGTATCAACTGCCAAATTCATGTCTCCAGCCAAGACCTCCATTCTGAACTATAGCCTATTCCTGCTACTGGGCCTTTACACTAGCTGTTCCTTCAGACATCCTACCCTTCCTTCCTCACTTTTGCTCAAATGTTACCTTTTCACTGAAGCCTGTTCTGACCATGCTACTTAATATTACAACCTTTTCCTTGCCCCCTAACTTCTGTATTCCCAAATTCCCTTAACGTGTTCTGTTCCTTCTTTGTCCATATCACATCTTACATAACATACTAGATATTGATAATTTACACATTTATTATGCTTATTATTTACTCATATTTTCCCTTAGGAGAATGTAAGCTCCATGAGAGCAGGGATCTGTTTTGTTGACTGGTGCATCACAAGTGCCTGGCATACAGTAGGGACTCAATAAATACTTGCTGAATTATTTTGATTTGAACTGAATTGAACTGGGTATCTATGACAATAGAGAAACGCCATTCCTATACTTTCTCACCTAGCTTTTATAGGTGAGGAAATCTTGTTTCCTTTTTTTTTTTAACACAAATTTTTATTTTATTTTTTTAATATTTATTTTTATTTGTTTGTTTGGCTGGCCAGGTCTTAGTTGCAGCACACAGGATATTTAGTTGTGCAATACAAACTCTAGTTTTGTCATGTGGGATCTAGGTCCCTGACCACGTATCAAACCTGGGCCCCCTGCATTGAGAGGGCAGAGTCTTAGACACTGGACCACCTGGGAAGTCCCTCCTTTTTTTGTTTACAAATGGTTCAGAATTTATAAGCTTTTAAGAATGGTCAATCATAACAGACATACTTTTAAGATGGGTTATTTTTTAAGTTAATTTGTTTAAAATGCAATTAACTAGGGCTGATTAACTATGTGAGTTTCTCTTTATTTTGTAAACATGAGTTTACATTACCACCTTTCCTCATCCAAAAGAGACTAGAGTTTATCCTCTGGAGAAGGACAAGTTGCTCTGGAATCAGGCACACCAGACGCAGTACCTGAAAGAGGTTAGGAAGTAACTCAAAATACAGGAAACAATCTTTTCAGTGATGACTAGATTAAAAGTCATAAACAAGTCATTAACAAGTCATCAGTTCAGTTCAGTCCCTCAGTCGTGTCCAACTCTTTGCGACCCCATGAATTGCAGCACGCCAGGCCTCCCTGTCAATCACCAACTCCCGGAGTTTACTCAAACTCATGCCCATCGAGTCGGTGATGCCATCCAGCCATCTCATCCTTTGTCGTCCCCTTCTCCTCCTGCCGCCAATCCCTCCCAGCATCAGGGTCTTTTCCAATGAGTCAACTCTTCGCATGAGGTGGCCAAATTATTGGAGTTTCAGTTTCAGCATCAGTCCTTCAATGAACACCCAGGACTGATCTCCTTTAGGATGAACTGGTTGGATCTCCTTGCAGTCCAAGGGACTCTCAAGAGTCTTCACCAACACCACAGTTCAAAAGCATCAATTTTTTGGCGCTCAGCTTTCTTCACAGTCCAACTCTCACATCTGCTATAACAAGTCATAGCAGAAGGTAAAGGCCCTGCTCATTGAAATTATTCCTTAGATATGTGTCTTAACTATCTACAGTCAGCCAGAGGGCAGAAGGTTTCCTGTTTGTCTCCATCCTGAATTCACCTCAGGGTACACCATTCGTGAGGTCTGCAGTGGCTGATGCCTTGATAGTGGGCAATTCACTGGGTGGCAGAGAGCATTACCTTTCTACATTATTATTATTATCTATTTAATTTTCCCAGAATTAAGATCCAAGAAAGCAGGGATTGAGTTTTGATAACTGGTATTTCCCCAGAGCCTGTAACAATGTGTGAACAGACCTAGGGATTCAGAAGATAGTTGAATAAATGAATGAAGGACAAAGAAAGGGCTTTCGCAGGGGAAGAGCTGGGCCGGTTACCTAGTCTCTTGGGACCGCTGTCAGGAAACGCGGGCGGTTCGCCTGGGTGGCCGCTGCCCAGGGTCTGGCAGTCGTGGGGGCGGCGTGCCCAGGCGCGCTCCGCAGAATCCGGGTTCCGGATTTTCGGGAGCGCCTGCCTCCCGGGAGAGGGCGAACTCTGGCTGCTCCTGATGGGCGGAGCCGGCGGCGGGGCGTGCCGAGCCGCCGGAAGAGTCGAGGGCACCGGGGTAGATAGCACTGCGGCTGCGTCGGGGGCAGCACCCGGGACCCGCCAGGGCCTGGGCGAAGGCGAACAGGGGCGCGGGCAACGGCGCTTCGCTACTGCGGAGGGGCCGGGACACCCCGGCTGAGGCCCAGGAGGCGGGGCGCCGGTGGGCCTCGCCACTGCCGCCGGCCTGGCATCAAAGCAGCGGCTGGCGAGCGGTAGCCTAGCCCGGGTCTGTTGAAAGCCGGTTCAGCGTTCCCTTGGCCTTGCAGGTCCCCAAAGCCCTGCTCCCGGGAGTGTGGCTGCGAAAGGACACGTTGGAGGGGCTGTGGGTTTATCTGGTGCCTCAGCACCCGCCCTAGGCCGCCTCTCAGAAATTTGGAAAAGAGCCCTGGTCCGGTGTGGAGACCGATAGTCCTTTGGGCTTCAGAAGGAAGCCTGCGTGAATGTTCAGCGTTTTTTAAAAAAGTCATTGTGTTGGGTGTCGATGTGGTCTGTCTATAAAAGGCTGGGGAAGAACAAAATCTCTTACCGGTTCTTCTCTAAAGAGACACCCTCTGGAGCTGAAAACCTCAAGAACCGGCTCTCTCATGTCCCCCATCTCTGGTCCTACCAGCGTCCACAGCCGCTCTGGTGAGTAGCAAGCTACGCTCTCTGTAGTTTCTTAGGTCCGAGAGAGACATTTCTGGGAGTAGTGAGAAGGGGTTACACTCGAAATGAAGCTTCTCTGTCGTTAACCATTTGGGGAATAAGATTGGAAAGTTTCTCCACTTGGGTAACAAACCATTTTACTTTTCATATATTTGGGGGCAGGATATTTTTCATATGCTCCAATACAGCTCCTTTCTCTGCATCAGTCACAGCTGAAAACAAGAAGCCAAACACCCTGCCCCACAAACTTCAAAAAGTTGGGCCAGCTCCCTTTTCAGGGAGCTAGGACTGGGATTGTTCTTGAGGCCCTAATACACTGTACTTGGTCGCTGTAGAGGCACCTGTTCAAATGCCAAGGGCTTCCACGAAAAGATAGGCGGTTTCCAAAATTTCCTGCCAGGAGCAGTTCTGCAATAGTTCTCATTATATTTGAAGTACTATACTTGAGATACTTGAGACTTTAAATTCAGATCTGTAATTGTTTTAAAAATAACTCTAAAAAGTAATGTTGTGGTTGCACATTAAAGCAAAAGGTTTATAATAATGTCTATTAAGGTACTGTATTCCCAACATTGTTACAACCCTACAAAGTACACTTCTTATCTGCATTTTCTAGATGGATGAAATGGAAACTCAGAGAATTGAAGTGTCTTAGAGTTTTTAAGTGCCTGTGTCAGGATTCTAACCTAGGCTATTTGATTTCTAAGCTTGCCCTCTTAACTCCCAAGTCTGTCTGTGCCCAAGCAGAAGATACATGCAGCTTGTTGTTGTTGTTCAGTTGCCAAGTCGTGTCCGACTCTTTGTGACCCCATAGACTGCAGCATGTCAGATCTCTCTGTCCCTCACCATCTCCCAGAGTTTGTCCAAGTTCATGTCCACTGAATCAGTGATGTCATCCAACCGCCTTATCCTCTGTTGTCCTCTTCTTCTGCCTTCAATCTTTCCCAGCATCAGGCTCTTTTCCAAAGAGTCAGCTGTTCGCATCAGGTGGCCAAAGTATTGGAGCTTCCAAAGAGGAAAGTCAAGGCAAGGTCTGTGCATGTTTGTGTATCTTTGGTATTTGTGTGTATCTGTGCTATTTGTGAAAGTGTGTATGGAACTGGAAATTAGAGCTGCATCCAAAGCGTAGATTATACTTATTTTCACATTGATGCTAAATCTTTGTTTTTGGATATTTTGCAGTTTTAAGTATGTTTCTGCAAGTTCTGGAGTTCTATCTGTATGATCGGTTTTCTGGATCCCTCCTCCCTGCCTTTTGCTTCTCTAGAAGATTATGAAGAGGCATAGACTCAGACCTACTCAACCAGCCAACCTGCAAGCAGGCAGGACTTACTTTTAGAGAGGAATCAGTTTTTCAGAGCTGTGAGAGCCACATCAGCCTCCAGGAGCCCCTAAGCACACACAAGAATCCTGAGGGCAGGAGACTGTGATCACAGGAGGACCACGCAACTGTGAGGCATCTCAGCAGAGGCTCTGGCCGTTTCCTCACCAGAAGTGGACGAGGTCAGTCAGGAGGCATCATCATGCTGCAGCAGCTCCTGATCACCCTGCCCACCGAGGCCAGCACATGGGTGAAGTTGCACCATCCAGAGAAGGCCAAAGAGGGGGCGCCCCTGTGGGAGGATGTGACCAAGATGTTTGAAGGAGGAGGTGAGAGTAGGCTGATGGATGGGGGGATGGAGGAGGAAGAAGGGTTCTCAATCTGCTTGGGAAAAATAGGTACACACATCACTGAGGTGGTCTCTGGCAGAGAAAATTGGGAGAGAGTAGGTCCTTGGGGCTTGTGCTTGTGACTTTGGGAAGGAGATAGCTGTGCAAGAAAATGTTAGGCTCTAAGCACAGGGTCCCTGCGAGGTGTGCTCAATGCTGCTCCCATCTGTCCTCCAATAAGCACAGGACAGGAAGACAGAATTCAGGGTGTTCCCCACCAGCAGCTGTATAAGTGTTATTTACAGACATCAGAGTCAAAGGTTTCTACCCCCTTAAGCCCTTCAGTGGTTTTCCTTTATTAGTCCCAGTCAGTTTACTGCCATACCAATGCTTTTTCTTTCTTTTCATCTCCTGCTAGGAGGAAGGAATGACATTCTTGGTTACTCTCACTTTACCTTGAACTGTTTTGAGTTCAGTGGGAAACATGTCCAAGGTTACACAGTATTTGCTGGCCAGCTTAGGATAGATGGATGGACAGAGGAATTATTATATCTCATGGGGTCTCTTAGTTCATCTTTAACACTTCAAAAGTCAGACAGGGACTTTGTTAAGCATCTTGATAGATGGAAAAATGAATAATGATCTCTAATGCTAATTATTAATTGATAGAGATAGACACATACCCGGATGGAAAGAAGAGAAAGTAGCCTAAATACATTTTATGGTAAAGTTCTTTTGGAAGAGACAGGAAAATTCTTCTGGTTGTATTTATCAGAGAAATATTCACAAAGCAGATAGCACTGAATTGAGCCTTAAAAGATGTCTTTGGTTTTTATGGAAGAATTGGGAAAAAATACAAAAGTGGGGACCTTGAAGAGTGGTTCAGAGAATGGAGACTGTTCTAGTCTAACTGAGGGATAAGAATGTGGTCAGTGCATGTGTCCCATAGATAAAGGGTGGTGGTTATAGGAAACTAATGCTGGGAAGATACGCTTCAGGCAGATTGTAGAGTGCCATGAAGTCCGTGGGAAGTGTTTGGATTTTTCTTGCTTGTAAGTGGGGAACCTTTGAGGATTCTGAACAGACGAGTGGCCTTGTAGGTCAATGCTTCTGGATCATCATTGACCATTGGGAAACATTAATACCCCAATCAATTCACCGCAGGTCCTTCTCATTAAGGAGACTCTAGTCTGCTCTTGAGTCGCTCTGAATGTCTCTCTCTGTGAATGTGTTCAAAGAGGGGCTGTATTGAGCAGGACTGCAGGCAGTTTTTCTATTTAATGGGGTAAGGGAAGATGCAAACTTTCTGGCTCTTTTCCTTCCTCAGCTCTGCTATCTCAGGATGCTGATGAGACCCAGGGAGAAAGTTTAAAGGATGAATTAACCCCCGGGACCCCAACAACAGACTCCCAGGTGGGTTGGAGTTTTCTGTCACTTTCTTGACATGCTTTTTAGTTTTTAAGATTATAATTTGCCCTTTTCTGGGGAGTTGGGTATATTAAGGCTAATGAATTTAACTAGGGAACTCAGTGCAAGTTGATCTTGTGCAGAAAACAGGTCCACAGTGGCGGCAGTTTCCCTCCTTTTAGAAAACGTTTCTTCGGACTTCCATGGCAGTCCAGTGGTTACAACTCTGCACTTCCACTGCAGGGAGTGCGGGTTTGATCCCTGGTTGGGGCACTAAGATTCCACATGCTGTGTGGCCAAAAAATATTTTTTAAAAAAATGTTTCTTTCCAGCCAACATCTAATACAAATTTTTGTAGAGAAAGCAAAATGAATGATTTAATTCCAACCCATAAAAACCAACAGGTACCATATGGGATCTAAGATAAACCTCAGTTTTTATTTTATACTAAAAAATGGGTTACATCTGTCACTTCCTGAGGTGGCCCATAGAATAGTGGCATGAGCAGAGGTCAAATAACAGCTAAAGACCTGAGCAGAGAAGAAATGGTCAGGCTATGGAGCACACACATTAGACAGGCTGGGCAGTTACAGCAGGGTATGGGAACATGTCCTCACCACCTGGTAGAAGCACAGGTGAAGTAGAGAAGGAAAACTGTAGAGTAAATGTGAAAGGAAGACTTATTAAAGAGGAGACGTTACCCGAGGACAGAAGAGTTTTAACTGAGAACTTGGGTTCTGGAATTAGATGGTACAGAATTTGAACTTATCTCTGGTATTTACTTGCTCCGTGATTTTTATTTTTAGGTTTTTTATGATGACATTTTCTTTAGCTAATTCAGGTGCTAACATCTTTTAGAATTGAAATGCATTCCAGGGCTATTTCCAGTAATATGGAAGAAATAGTAATATTCTAATTATTTGGAGAGTTATCTTATCTCTATATTCCACTTTTATGGAATTCTTACCTCCTGACAGTTAAAATATTGGTGGGATTCTTAGCACTGGAAAGGATTAAATTTCTTTTTTTTTTTTCCATTTATTTTTATTAGTTGGAGGCTAATTACTTTACATCATTACAGTAGTTTTTGTCATACATTAAAATGAATTAGCCATGGATTTACATGTATTCCCCATCCCGGTCCCCCCTCCCACCTCCCTCTCCACCCGATCCCTCTGGGTCTTCCCAGTGCACCAGGCCCGAGCACTTGTCTCATGCACCCAACCTGGGCTGGTGATCTGTTTCACCCTAGATAATATACATGTTTCAATGCTGTTCTCTTGAAACATCCCACCCTCGCCTTCTCCCAGAGTCCACAAGTCTGTTCTATACATCTGAGTCTCTTTTTCTGTTTTGCATATAGGGTTATCGTTACCATCTTTCTAAATTCCATATATATGTGTTAGTATACTGTAATGGTCTTTATCTTTCTGGCTTACTTCACTCTGTATAATGGGCTCCAGTTTCATCCATCTCATTAGAACTGATTCAAATGAATTCTTTTTAATGGCTGAGTAATATTCCATGGTGTATATGTACCACAGCTTCCTCATCCATTCGTCTGCTGATGGGCATCTAGGTTGCTTCCATGTCCTGGCTATTATAAACAGTGCTGCGATGAACATTGGGGTGCACGTGTCTCTTTCAGATCTGGTTTCCTTGGTGTGTATGCCCAGAAGTGGGATTGCTGGGTCATATGGCAGTTCTATTTCCAGCTTTTTAAGAAATCTCCACACTGTTTTCCATAGTGGCTGTACTAATTTGCATTCCCACCAACAGTGTAAGAGGGTTCCCTTTTCTCCACACCCTCTCCAGCATTTATTGCTTGTAGACTTTTGGATAGCAGCCATCCTGACTGGCGTATAATGGTACCTCATTGTGGTTTTGATTTGCATTTCTCTGATAATGAGTGATGTTGAGCATCTTTTCATGTGTTTGTTAGCCATCTGTATGTCTTCCTTGGAGAAATGTCTGTTTAGTTCTTTGGCCCATTTTTTGATTGGGTCATTTATTTTTCTGGAGTTGAGCTGGAGGAGTTGCTTGTATATTTTTGAGATTAATCCTTTGTCTGTTGCTTCGTTTGCTATTATTTTCTCCCAATCTGAGGGCTTAGGATTAAATTTCTTAAGATTGAGGTATAATTTATATATAGGAAAAACACTTAAGAAAGTACATGGTTCTATTTTGACATTTATACACCATGTAACCAAGTCAAGATACAGAGCATTTCTGCCTCTCAGAATGTTCACTTGTGCCCCTTCCCAATCAAAACTCTGTTTCGCCCCCAGTAAAAAGAGTACATGGGATTTCTGCTTTATTTCTTATAACTGCATGTAAATCTATGATTAAAATTATCTGATAAATCTGTAATCTCAGAATAAAAACTTTGAGAAAGAATCTGTATGTGGCAGTGGTTAGGTATAATGCTCTACAAATGTCAGGTTAAGTTGATTGATAGGTGTTCAGATCTACATCCTTGATAAATTTTTGTCTACTTGTTCTATCACTTAGTGAGAGGAGTGTTAAAATCTCTAATTATTGTGGTTTTGTTCATATCTCCCTTTAGTTCTGTCATGTCGAATTCTGTTACCAGGCACATAAACACATAGGATTATTGTCTTCTTAATGAGATGACCATTTATCATTAGGAAATGTCTCATCATATTCTTTTTCCTAAGCCCACTTTGTCTGATTTAATGTAACTTATCCAGTGTTTTTAGTTATTGTTGGTATGGTATAGCTTTTTTCATTCTTTTAACTTATTTGTGCCTTTATATTTAAAGTGTGGCCCTTCTTAGATACAGCTGGGCCTTGCTTGCTTAGTCTGTTAACAGTTACATAATCATTGATATGGAGCTTCCCAGGTGGCTCAGTGGGTAAGGAATCCGCCTACAGGATTTCCCCGGTGGCCCAGTAGCTAAGATTCCATGCTTCCAATGCAGGATGCCTGGGTTTGATCCCTGCTCAGGGAACTAGATCCCACATGCCACAACTAAAGATACTGCATGCTGCAACAAAGACCCGCTGCAGCCCCAAAAAACCAAAAACAACTCGCCTGCAATGTAGGAGACGCAGGAGACATGGGTTCAGTGTCCTGGGTAGGGAAGATCCCTTGGAGGAGGGCATGGCAACTCACTCCAGTATTCTTGCCTGAAGAATCCCAAGGACAAGAGGAGCCTGGCGGGCTACAGTCCATAGAGTCACAAAGAGTAGTACACAACTGAAGTGACTGAGCGCACAGGCAATCACTGATACGGTAGAATTTAAGTGTATGTTCTTGTCCTTTGTTTGCTGTTTGTCAAACCTATTCTTTCATTTCTTTGTTCCTCCTCTCTGGCCTTCTTTTGGATTGTGCAGTTTTTTAGTATTCTATTTTGTGTCCTCTAATGACTTTTTTTAGCTATACTTTGATTTGTTTTTAGTGGTTGTCCTGGCCATTACAATATGCATTTTAAACGTGTCACAGTTGAATTACTATTATACTGTTTCACAAAGAATATGAAAGTCTTATTTTCCCATTTACTCTTCCCACTCTGTGTTTGTTGTCATCATGCTTTTCACTTTACATGTTATATACCCCATAATACATGTCCTTATTTTTGCTTTTAACAGTAAACTGTCTCATAAGAGATTAAGAAAAGGAAAAAAATGAGCCTTTCATATTTGCCCACATATTTACCAGTGCAGGCTTTCCTGGTGGCTCAGACAGTAAAGGATCCACCTACAGTGCAGGAGACCTGGGTTTGATCCCTGGGTCAGGAAGATGCCCTGGAGAAGGAAATGTCAACCTACTCCAGTGTTCTTGCCTGGAGAATTCCAAGGACAGAGGAGCCTGGTAAGCTCCAGTCCATAGGGGTCACAAAGAGTCAGACACGACTAAGTGACTTTCTTTCACTTTACCAGTTGGAGCACTTTTCAGTCCTTCCTTTAGGTTCTAAGTTTCTGACATCATTTCCCTTCAGCCTGAAGAACATCATTTAGCATTTCCTGTTGTGTGGGTCTTCAGATGACGAATCCTCACAGCTTTGGTGATCTAGAAATGTCTTTATATGATCTTCCTATTAGAGGATCTTTTACTGGATATAGAATTCTAGGGTTACCGTTTTTTTTTTTTTCTTTTAGGCACTTTAAGGATGTTCCATTGTCTTTTGGCTTATATTGCTTCAGATAAAAAGTGAACTATTTTTCTTATTCTTTCCCCAGATGTGACATGTCTTTTTGTTTATTTTATACTAACTTTTCTGGTGTTCCTGTTCTTCCTTTCCTACTTTCTTTTCACTGCTTTTATAATCTTCCCTTTTATCTTTGCTCTTCAGCAGTTTTTATGATGTGCATAGACATGGTATTCTTTGAATATTTTTTCTTTTGGTGGAGGATTTGCTGCCTTTTGCATTTATGGGTTGATTTTTTTTAATCTAACTTGGAAATTTTTCAGCCTTTATTTCTTCAAATATTCATTTCTTCTCATTCTTCTTCTGAGATTTTAATTACATGTATATTAGACCATGTGATATTATCCCTTTTTTTTCCTTTTTCTCTCTTGGTGCTTCTATTTGAATACTGTCTATTGACCTGTGTTAAGTTTCACTGATCTTGTCTTCATCAGGGTCCATCTGATGTTAAGCCCATCCAATGGATTTTTCAGATATTGTATTTTTCAGTTGTAGAATTGTCTTTTAGTTCTTTTTTGGCATTTCTGTCTCTCCTCAATTACCCTGACGTTTTGACCTATTCCATCCATATTTTATTGTAAACTCTTCAACATATATTTTAATAATTGCTTTAAATTTCTTGTCTGCTTCTTCCAGTGACTTGGTGACCTAGATCTTTACTTCTTATGTTTTTATTTCTTGATTATAGGTCAGCTTTTCCTCCTTCAGTTGCCTAATAATTTTTTATTATGATTCAGATATTATGTATAAAAGAACAGTGGAGGATGAAATATGCATAGATAGATTCATTTCCCTATCAGCGTGGAAGGACATTGGTACTGAGAATAACTATGATTGCTTCCAGTTTTTTAATGAAACCTCAGATGTGTAGCTTCCTGGCCAAGCATCTGCAATTTCATATTGTTAGAGCAATCGTTGTATCTCTGGGAGTTGCAACTTTCTACAAGTTTGCTTTGGTAAACCAAGAAAGACAGAATAAAGGACAGAAATGGCAAGGACCTAACATAAGCAGAAAAGATTAAGAAGAGGTGGCAAGAATACACAGAAGAACTGTACAAAAAAGATTTAATGACCCAGATAACCATGTTGGTGTGGTCACTCACCTAGAGCCAGATATCTTGGAGTGGGAAGACAAGGCAGCCTTAGGAAGCATTACTACAAACAAAGCTAGTGGAGGTGATAGAATTCCAATTGAGCTGTTTCAAATCCTAAAAGATGATGCTGTTAAAGTGCTGCACTCAATATGCCAACAAATTTGGAAAACTCAGCAATGGCCACAGGACTGGAAAAGGTCAGTTTTCATTCCAGTCCCAAAGAAAGGCAACACCAAAGAATGTTCAAACTACAGTACAGTTGCGCTCATTTCACATGCTAGCAAGGTAATGCTCAAAATACTTTAAGCTAGGCTTCAACAATATGTGAACTAAGAACTTCCAGATGTTCAAGCTGAATTTAGAAAAGGCAGAGGAACCCCGAGATCAAATTGCCACCACCTGTTGGATCATCGAAACAGCAAGGGAATTAAAAAAAAAAAATCCACTTCTGCTTCATTGACTATGCTAAAGCCTTTGACTGTGTGGATCACAACAAACTCTGGAAAATTTTTAATGAGATGGGAATACCAGACCACTTTACTTGTCTCCTGAAAAACCTGTATGCAGGTCAAAAAGCAAAGGTAGAACTGGACATAGAACAATGGACTGGTTCAAAATTGGGAAAGGAGTATGTCCAGGCTATATATTGTCACCCTGCTTATTTAACTTCTATCCAGAGTACATCATGTGAGATGCTGGGCTGGATGAATCACAAGCTGAAATCAAGATTGCCAGGAGAAATATCAACAACCTCAGATATGCAGATGATACCAGCGTAATGGCAGAAAGTGAAGAGGAACTAAAGAGCCTCTTGATGAAGGTGAAAGAGGAGAGTGAAAAAGCTGGCTTAAAACAACATTCAAAATACTAAGATCAGGGCATCCAGTTCCATCACTTCATGGCAAATAGATGGGGGGAAAATGGAAACAGTGGCAGGTTTTATTTCTCCTGCTCCAAAGCAGGGCTCCAAAATCACCGTGAATGGTGACTGCAGCCATGAAATTAAAAGATGCTTGCTCTTTGGAAGAAAAACTGTGACAAACCTATACAGCGTATTAAAAAGCAGAGATATCACTTTGCTGACAAAGGTCCATTTAGTCAAAGCTATGGTTTTTCCAGTTGTGTACAGATGTGAGAGTTGGACCATAAAGAAGGCTGAGCCCCAAAGATGCTTTCAGACTGTGGTGCTGGAGAAGACTCTTGAGAGTCCCTTGGACAGCAAGGAGATCAAACCAGTCAATCCTAAAGGAAATCGACCCTGAATATTCATTGGAAGGACTGATGCTGAAGCTGGAGCTCCAATACTTTGGCCATCTGAGGCAAAGAGCCGATTTATAGAAAAGACCCTGATGCTGGAAAAGATTGAGGGCAGGAGGAGAAGGGGGGCAACAGAGAATGAAATGATTGGATGGCATCACTGACTCAATGGACATGAGTTTGAGCAAACTTCAGAATAGAGTGAAGGACAGGGAAGCCTGGTGTGCTGCAGTCCACGGGGCAGCAGAGTCGGACATGACTTAGTGACTTAACAACAGCAAACTACAAGAATTAAGGCATATACAGATTCTGCAGAAAGTATGGTTCTGTGAAAAATTTTAAGGTGATGAGAAAGGCTGGTATCTTTCAGAGTGCAAAGTGATTTCAGAATGTAAAAAATTTCTTTGGGTTGAGTTGCATGAAATTCATCCCTGACCTGTGTTTGTTAATGAAGCATGAATATCTGGGCTATGGAATAGTTTCTCTTGATAAATAAACAATAAATAAATGTATATATGTACAGATAGATAGATATAGTCTGTTTGTCTATTCTGTTTATTTGCAGAAGACTCTAAGCCTTTTCCTCTTGACTGGTGGTTAAGGTGAGGGACTGATTAATCATATTTTTCCTAGAGCTGTGGCTGAGCTCTGGTGGAGATGCACTTTAGTTTGATTGAATTCACTTTTTTTCTTTTTTTGGTTGCATGGCATGTGGGATCTTAGCTCCCCAACCAGGACTTGAACCCATACCCCCTGCAGTGGAAGTTATGGACCTTCCACCGCCAGGGTCCTTGATTGAGTTCACTTCTGATTAACCCAACTATTAGCACCCCATGCCTTCAGTGCTGAGGGGCCGATCCTTTTTTATCTATTCAGTATTTGAGCTAAGGAAGAGCTTGATCACAGTTCCAAACCATTTTGTTCATCTTGCATTAAATTCCAGCAGGGTCCCAGAATTTCAGCCTTGGAGGAATGCATTGGTCTTTGTGACAGTAAGTGCTGAAAGCCTGTCTCCCTTCCCCTGGGCCCTCTGGTCTCATCTACTTCCACTTGCCTGCCTCAGCAATGCTGGCCACTCTCCTGCTCCTCAGACAAGCCAAGGATACGCAGTCCTCAGGTCCTTTGTTCCTGCCTGGAATACTCTCCCCTCAGATTTCTGTGTGGCTCTTTCCTACTGAGTCATGTCTCTGTTCGAATATCACCCTTTTAGGAAGACTTACCCTAACACCCTACACGAAAGATCTTCCTCATCCTCACTGTGGCTCTCCGTGGTGCCATTATCCTGCTTCATTTTGTTTTTTTCTAAGACACATATAATAACCATCTGTCCTTTCATGTATTGTTTATGATAGTCTCTAGAGAATTACCAAACAGATCCAGAGGAGACTCCCAGTAAAACTAATTTAGAACCTCTCAGAAAACTGTCAGAACATATTGGATCTTGATAGAGGTGGTCTCAGGCTGAAAAGGGATATATTGGATATTCTAGGAACTGTTGACCTTCAAGGACATATCTGTGGACTTCACCCAGGAGGAGTGGGGGCAGCTGGCGCCTGCTCACCGGAATCTGTACCGGGAGGTGATGCTGGAGAACTATGGGAATCTGGTCTCAGTGGGTAAGGACAGGCTACACATACATCCAGAATCCTGCCTATTAACAGGATTAATATTTAGTTTAGTATTAATAATTCCTAAATTATTAAATGCGGTAGATTCCCTGGAGCCTGGCCTTGGGTTCTGTGTTGGAGATGGATGTTTCATACCTTTGAAAATCAAGCCAGAACATATCTGAATCTCTTCCCTTCGGGGAACACTTTACTTTGTAGAGTGAGAATAGGAAAACATGCTCTGGTACCCCTTCCCATCTTCAGAGACCCTAAAAACCTGAGGATTGAAACTACATCCCAGGGATGGATCTTTGACCTCAACATAATATTCATACCCTTTTTTTCATTCCATAAGCAGGCTGTCAGCTTTCCAAACCTAGTGTGATTTCCCAGTTGGAGAAAGGAGAAGAGCCATGGATGACAGAGAAAGAAGGCGCAGGAGATCCCAGTTCAGGTGAGCCAAGGCAGATGGTGCCTTTTAATATGTAGGCCAGAGTGCCCAGCATCTTCCCAGGCTGCAGAAAGGCTGAGCGGGTGGACAGGCATGCTCTGAACTAGATTTCATTCCTCTGTCTGCAGTCCTTTTCTTCATCTGACCCTGCAGAAGTCTCTGGAGTTGGAGGGACGATAAGTCTTCTCTTGATTAAGGTTTTCTTTCTTTCTTCAGTATCCTAAAGTCTGCCAATCGAAAGCTCCTTTCCCCATCCTCTGAGATGTACATAGTCTCTTCTCACAGAAAGCAGATCTCTTTTCAAGACTCACTGCATTCTCCAGATCTTTAATCTTCTCTCTTACATCCTATTTCCACTTTTCATCAACTTCGATTTTACAATCTTAACTTTGATTCTCACTCTCCTTTGATGTAAAGTATCCTTATTTATTGTTAACAAATGTTTTATGGAAAATCCTGCTAGAGAAATGACCATGGGATTCCTTCTCATCAAATCCAGTGATCTTTAACAATCTTCTTAAACTTCGCTTTTATTGTGAAATATTTTAGATATTCAGAAAGGCACAGAGAACATTACAATAAATTGCTATGTACTTTCTACCTAGATTAAGAAATAAAACAGAGCTTAAACCACAGTACTCCCATCCTTGTTTGTGAAATAACCAACTCTTCTGACTTTAAACATTGTCATTCCTATATGTGTCTTCATATTTGTATTGTATGTATATATTCCCAAGCAATATATAATATTTTTAAAATTTATTTTTAATTGAAAAATAAATTGTATTTATAATATTGTGTTCATTTCTGCCGTATATCAGCATATATCAGCCATAGGTACACATACATCTCCTCCCTCTTGAACTTCCTGCCCACCTCCCACCCCATCCCACCCTTCCAGGTTGTCACAGAGACCTGGTTCGAGTTCTCTGAGCCGTACAGCAAATTCCCACTGGCCATGTGTTTTGCGTATGGTGGTGTATGTGTTCCCATGCTACTCTCTCCATTCATCCCACCCTCTCCTTCCCCCCACTCACTCATTTCCTTAAGTCTGTTCTCTGTGTCTGCATCTCCATTGCTGCCCTGACCACAGGTTCATCAGTACCTCTTTCTAGATTCCGTATATACGTGTTAATATACAGTTTTTTTTTTTCTCTTTCTGACTTCCTTCAGTTTGTATACTAGGCTCTAGGTTCATCTACCTCATTAGCACTGACTCATGTTCCTTTTTATGGCTGAGTAATATTCCATTGTATATATGTACTACAGCTTCTTTATCCATTCATCTGTCGATGGACATCTAGGTTGCTTCCATGTCCTAGCTATAGTAAATAGTGCTTCAATGAACATTGGGGTACGTCTGTCTTTTTCAATTATGGTTTGTCAGGATATATGCCCAGTGGTGGGATTGTTGGGTCATATGGTAGTTTTATTCCTAGTTTTTTAAGGAATCTCCATACTGTCTTGCACAATGGTCATGCAAGAGGTTCCCTTTTCTCCACACCCTCTCCAGAATTTATTGCTTGTAAATTTTTTGATGATAGCCATTCTGACCAGTGTGAGGTGATATATCATTATAGTTTTGATTTGCATTTCTGTAGTAATAAGCAATATTGAGCATCTTTTCATGTGTTTACTAGCCATCTGTATGCCTTCTTTGGAGAAATGTCTATTTAGGTGTTTTGCCCACTTTTTGATTGGGTTGTTTTGTTTTTCTGGTATTGAATTGTGTAAGCTGCTTGTATATTTTGGAAATTAATCCTTTATCAGTTGTTTCATTTGCTATTATTTCTCCCATTCTGAGGGTTGTCTTTTCACCTTATTTATAGTTTCCTTTGCTATGCAAAAATTTTTCAGTTTAATTAGATCCTACTTGTTTATTTTTCTTATTTCTGTTATTCTAGGAGGTGGGTCATAGAGGACCTTGCTGTGACTTATAGCACATAAATTACTACTTATAATACTGCTTTGCATATTCTTATTCTTTAAAAAAATGGTATATGTACTTCTTCCACTTGCTTTTCTTATTCAACACTGTTGATATTTATCCATATTATTCATTCATATTTATCCATATCATTCATTTCCATTGAATTAATAAAGCACAATTTATCCATTTTTCTGTTGATAAGAAATTTAGGGGTTTCTAAATTTGGGGGTTACAGAGATACTGCAGTAAAACTATATATGTAACTTCTTGTGTAAGTATGTAAGTATATCTCTGAAATATTTGATAGAAGCAGACTTGTTGGGTCATGGAGCAGATGTACCTTTATGTTTCAGGAAATTGTTCTTCAAAGTAGTTGTACCAGTTTGTACTCCCATCTGAGACTTTTGAGAGGTTCCAGAACTCAGCATCTTTGTCAGCCCTTGGTGTTGTCAAACTTTCACATTTTTATAAATTCAGTGGTTGAATATGGTGTCTTGTTTTTTTCATTTTCATGATTACTAATAAGAGGGAGCATGTTTTTCATGTTTGTTAGCCATCCTTCCAGGATTTCTTTTCTGTAAATTACCTATTTATATCCTTTGCAAATCTTCCTATTATTTTTTCCTTATTGATTTATAGAAAAATATATATTATTTTATATCTTTAAAATTTTATTTTTCCATATTTAGGTTTAAATCTACACATTTTATATATAGTGTGAGATGAGGCTCTAGTTTAACTTTTTACATGTGGGTAATCAGCCCAAGAACCATATATTGAATAGTTGATGCTACTTGGTCACCTGCCAAGTTTCTTTATATACCTGAGTCTATTTCTGGCTTTATCTGTCCTGTTCCATTTTTCTATTTTCTATCCCTACTCTAATGTCAGACTGTCTTAATTACTGTATTTCACAGTGAGATTTAATATCTTATTCTTCAAAATTGTCCTGGCTATTGTTAGCCCCTTGCTTTTCCATATGAATTACATAATGAGTGCATCAATTACACACACACAAATTCGCTGGTGGTATTTTGATTGGGATATATTGAATCAATATAGATCAATTTAGGGGGAAATTAATGTTATGATATTGAGTCCTGTTGTCTGGGAATATGGTATATTGTTCCACTTACTGATATTTTCTAATTTTTTAAAATAAATTTTCAGGATTTTCCCCATAAAAGTCTTGTACACATTACACATCTTTTGTCAGACTCATCCTGAAGGACATACATTTTATTGCTATTCTGTTTTTTTATTTTTTAGCCACACTGCATGTCTTGTGGGATTTTAGCTCCCTGATGAGGCACTGAACCCTCACCCTCAGCTGTGAAAGCTTGGAGTCCTAATGACTGGACTGCCGGGGAATTCCCTCAAACCTTTTTCTGAACTAGCTGGAGTGGGAAGAGGGAAATCTTTTTCTCTTTCTGAGAATGTTTTCCAAAAATAGTTATCAGTTAAAAAGACACTGTTAAGACATAGCCCTGAAATATCATTTTTTAGTATTAATAGAAAATTAAAATGTTCAAAATTTTACTCTGTATATAAAATCACACTTTTACCTTGTTCATTGTGTCTCAATTTCCCATTACCTCTCCAGGCTGCATAACCATATTTAAATACACTGAGAATTTCATGGGACTTCCATGGCGCTCCAGTGGTTAAGACTGCATGCTCCCAATGCAGGGGGCACAGATTGGATCTCTGGTCAGGGAATTAAGAACCCACATGCCTCATGCAAAAAATAAATATACTCAAAATTTCATGCACTTCATATGTATTGTTATCTAAATCTGTATTCCATACCCAGTGTAATAATTGATTTCTCAAAGCATAATGAACATGAGTTATTTTCATTTTTTCTGTTTCTTTCAGACTTGAAGAGTAAAACAGAAACCAGTGCGTCAAATGCAAAATATAACATTTTACAAGAACAGTTGTATCATGGTATGATGATGGAAAGGTTCATGAGGGATGATGTCATTTATTCCACATTGAAGAAAGTCTCAAAATATGATGATGAGTTAGAAAGGCACCAGGATCGCCATGGAAGAAATGTGAGACAAACCACTATGACCCATAAGAAGAGAAGCCAAGAAATTTACAAATTTGGCAAAAATATTGTGAGTTCAAATGTTGTTATAGAACAGAGGCTCCGTAAATGTGACACGCCTAGAAAGAGAAACAAATGCAAATCAGATTTGATTAATCATCCAACAAGTTACATAAGAGTAAAAACCTATGAGTGTAATATATGTGAAAAGGTCTTCAAACAACCCATTCACCTTACTGAACACATGAGAATTCATACTGGTGAGAAACCTTTCAGATGTAAGGAATGTGGAAGAGCCTTCAGTCAAAGTGCATCCCTTACCACACACCAGAGAATCCATACTGGTGAGAAGCCCTTTGAATGTGAAGAATGTGGCAAAGCCTTCAGACATCGCTCATCTCTTAATCAGCATCATAGAACCCACACTGGGGAGAAACCCTACATATGTGATAAATGTCAGAAAGCTTTCAGCCAGAACATTAGCTTGATCCAGCATTTGAGAACTCATTCTGGAGAGAAACCCTTTACGTGCAATGAATGTGGGAAAACCTTTAGACAGATTAGACACCTTAGTGAACATATAAGAATTCATACTGGGGAGAAGCCCTATGCATGCACTGCATGTTGTAAAACCTTTAGTCATAGAGCTTATCTAACGCATCACCAGAGAATCCATACTGGGGAGAGACCCTACAAATGTAAAGAATGTGGGAAAGCCTTTAGGCAGAGGATACACCTTAGCAACCATAAAACTGTTCATACAGGAGTAAAAGCATATGAATGCAACCGCTGTGGAAAAGCATACAGGCATGATTCATCCTTTAAGAAACATCAGAGGCATCACACAGGAGAAAAACCTTATGAATGTAATGAATGTGGAAAAGCCTTCAGCTATAATTCATCACTTACACGACACCATGAAATACACAGGAGAAATGTCTTCCAAAATAATATCTGAAAACCGATTATGCAATATGAGAACAAAAGCTAAGTCTAAATCAGTAACTCTGTGCTTTGAATTTCAGGACTCTAAATTTGAGGAATTGACATAATGATGCCAACTTCTAGTTTTGCTCATTGTGTAAATAAACACTACATTGATAACAACTATTTACTAATACCTCCACACAAAGTTACTTAATCGAGAATAAAAGATGACCCTTCAAGTTAAAATCAACAATATAGAAAATTTTGTACATCATTATTTTTATGATTTCATGGTAGATTAATAAATTATTTTTCTTGGGCATTCATAGATACAGACCAGCATTTGGAAACTACTGTTTAAAACATCACCACCACCCCTAATTTTTTATTTAAAATTTTATTTTTTTAATGGGGAAACCCTTCACATGGTATAAATTTCAAAAGGTATGGTCAGTTGTGTAAGTGAAAAGCCTTCTTTCTCCATCCTCCACAAAAAATTCTACCTACAGGCACCCATTTTTTATAACTCATATTTTGTACACCCTTCTAGAGAGCTTTCTGTTTAAATCCAAGAGAATACAAGCATACATTGTTTTACTTTTAAGCATAAGTGGAAGCTTCCTAGACAAATGCATATTACTTTTATTACTTCACTGTGTATCATGGAGGTTATTCCATATCACTAAACAAAGTGCCTACTTGTTCTTTTTAACAGCTGTATAGTATTCCATGGTTTGAATGTACTTTATTTAGCCATTTCATTGTAGATGACCTTTTGGATTTACAGTCTTTTATTTATATAATTTTGCAATGAATACTCTTACACATTTTTTTTTGTTTGTTTCTCACATATAAGAACATGCAGAGGGTAAATTCCTAGAATGGGAATTTCTGTGCTAAAGGGTATTTGCATTTGTATGATGGATACTGCCAAACTGACCTTCAGAGAGGTTGAACCAATTTATTTTCCTACTAGAAAGATACAGAAGCCATGTGGGAGCCATATATGATACTGAAGCATCTCCAGGAGCCTTATAATCCATTAAAGAAATATCAGTTTATGTCAATAACATAGCCTAGAAGTACAGTCTAAACCCATCCTCCAAAAGAGCAGTACTTGCCATCCCTGGAGTCAGCATTAGCTGCATCTTGTCAAATAGCAGCCAAACCCACCAGTCTCTGTTGGAGAAGAAAACACCTCTCCACAACTGCCCCAGTCCCTAACTTCTGAGGCTGGAACTGTCTGATGAAATATAGTCACTTAAGAGACTGATCCACCTGCCTTAGCAAGTATAATCCTGGCTACAGCACCTTTGTTTGGAATGGAGGAAAATGGGCAATTCAGTCAGGATACTTAAGATGGCAGGCTATACTACAAAGGATCAACTGACCATACATAGCATTTTATGGCTATGTTAGTGAGTTACAGTTCACTTGTGGAAGGAGACAGAAATGAGGCAGGATATGACTTTCTAATTAATAAACATTAATTAATGAGAACATTAATTTGTTGACATTGCCTATTACATTGCAAAAGCTGAGTGCCAATGAAAGGACCACAGTGATTTTGTAGATGTTCATTTTTCATTTTGGTAGTTTTATTATTTAAAGTTTTCATGATTCTGTAGAGTGTTGATGGATTTCCCATCTCCATCACCACAGCCACTAATCAGTTATAAACCAAAGCATGGCACTCATTACATCTAGTCTACCTTATAGCTTCACCTTCCATTTACTTTTCTCTTCCCCATATGGGCTGTAGTAGTTGAGAATCTTTTAAGTTGCAAGTAACAGAAATCAACTGAGGCTAGTTAAGTCTTAAAGAGGGATGTTAATAGAAGGATATTGGGGTATCATGGAATTCAGGGCAGTGATACATTATAACAGTGGCCTGAGACTGAGATATAAAATGCTTTGGAAAACCCAGGCAGTTTTCTCTCAATCTCTGATCTTTGCTTCTTGTGTTTTCATTTTTCAGCTTTCCCCCGCCAGCACCTCATTGCAAATCACGGTTATCATCAACTTTAGATTTTACATATATTCCCTTTTCATTACCCAGAGAAAAACTGTCTTCTCTTTCTTTTTATCCCAGAATCCTGAGGAAGGTATTTTATTGACCCAGCTAGGTCAGCTGCCTACCCTAAACAAGTCAATTGTAAACAGAGATCTCAGTTTCTGTGGGAACCACATGGAGGGTATGATGGTGAATGGGAGAGGAGGGCTGGAGGGGCAGGAGAGCAGAAGAAAGTGTTACTGTTCATATAGATCCAAATCCTACTCACTCTTCAATGCTGGCTCATCAGATCAGAACTTAAGAGCTGGAAAGGGAGAAAACTGTCTTCTCTTTCTTCCTTTTTATCTCAAAATCCTGAAGAAGGGAAAAAAAAAAATCCTGAGGAAGGTATTTTATTGACCCAGCTAGGTCAGCTGCCTACCCTAAGCAAGTCAATTGTAAGCAGAGATCTCAGTTTCTGTGGGAACCATGTGGAGGGTGTGATGGTGAATGGGAGAAGAGGGCTGGAGGGGCAGGAGAGCAGAAGAGTTACTGTTCATAGAGGTCCAGATCCTACTCTTCAATGCTGGCTCATCAGATCAGAACTTAAGAGTTGGAAAGAGTCTAGGAATTCACCTAATTGAAACTTCTCCCTTTATAGATGAAGAAGTGAAGAATCCCCTTCTTTAATTACTCACATCTTTTCACCTGAGTCATATATTTTTTAATCATTTTTTCCTCTAAATTTGTTAACTTGGTTCTCCAAACACTTGCCATTAATGGCTGACCATAGCTGCACTTCATCATTCTAAGAGTTTTGCTTCTTAGATCTACTATTGCCCCAAGGAGATCTTTCATAAATTATGCTTCAGAACCTACTCACTAGTTTTGCCTTTTATCACTGCCTATTCATTCATTGGATTTGATTTAGGTCATACCTGAATGGTCTAGTGGTTATCCCTACTCTCTTCAGTTTAAGTCTGAATTTGGCAATAAGGAGTTCATGATCTGAGCCACAGGCAGCTCCTGGTCTTGTTTTTGCTGACTGTATAGAGCTTCTCCATCTTTGGCTGCAAAGAATATAATCAATCTGATTTCGGTGTTGACCATCTGGTGATGTCCATGTGTAGAGTCTTCTCTTGTGTTGTTGGAAGAGGGTGTTTGCTATGACCAGTGCGTTCTCTTGGCAGAACTCTATTAGCCTTTGCCCTGCTTCATTCCGTACTCCAAGGCCAAATTTGCCTGTTACTCCAGGTGTTTCTTGACTTCCTACTTTTGCATTCCAGTCCCCTGTAATGAAAAGGACATCTTTTTTGGGTGTTAGTTCTAAAAGGTCTTGTAGATCCTCATAGAACCGTTCAACTTTGGCTTCTTCAGCATTACTGGCTGGGGCATAGGCTTGGATTACCGTGATATTGAATGGTTTGCCTTGGAAACGAACAGAGATCATTCTGTCGTTTTTGAG